GAGACCCAAACGACAGCCATCTCCCAGAGACCACTCTGACATGACCTGCGAAACACTTCATGAAGAAATCGAGAGGCTTCAGGGGATGCTGAGCAGGGGCAGAGAGAACTTGAACTATGAACAAAACTTGACGATCCAACTTAGCCAAGAGCTGAAGGAGACAAAGCAACAGCTGGCTAACCAGAAAGCCAAGACTGACTCCTTTTATCATCAAGGAAAAAAAAAACCATAAAGGAGCTTGAGAGGCTGAGGCAGTACAGTAATGCAGAAGCTCTCAGTGCTTCAAACATTGCCATTCAGTTTGGCAATGATATCAAGAGGATGAAGAAAAAAGATCTACGAGGAGCTGCAAGTGGCACACACACTAACCCAGTTGAGGTTTACGGGTGAGCTCAATGTGGAGAAGAACAAGAACAAGACTCTGCAAGAAGAACTGGAGAAGCTCAGAGCTTTACACCATCAGCTCAGCGCAAGATATGAAAATGATACCCTCACACTCAAGCAGCAGGTCGAAAGCCTTCAGCATGAGTGTGAGGATGAAAACAAGTCTCACGCTGCCATGGTGGAGCAAAATATCCACCTGATCGACACCCTGAAGGCAGAGAAGGATGCCCTTCAGCGTGAGCTAGAGAATGAAAAGCTCACTCATGCAGACAGGGTGGAGCAAGGTCAACAGCTGATCGACACCTTGAGGGCTGAGAATGACAGCCTTCATAATGAGATGACAGAAGAGGTCCTTACAGTTCAGAAAGAAGCTGATCATAAGGCCTTGCTCTATCAGAGAGAGCTGGAGGAGCTGAGAGATCAGCTCAAGCTTCAAACCTCACTCAATCTGCAGCTCTCCACTCAGCTCGAAGCTGAGAAACTCTCCAGCTGTGAACAGCCTGAGCCTGAACCATGTGAGGGACCAGAAGGCTCTCCCTAGTGCCCTCCATGATGAAGAACTCACAGAGAATGCTGTGGTCTCTGAAAAGATCATCACAGAGACGACAAAACAGAAGTCACGCTGGAAAAGATTCCGCCACTTTCTGGGGCTGAGGAAACCACAGAAGTGGAAGAAATAAACCAAACCCCTTTCACAGCAGATATTTAAATTAGAATCATTGGACAAGTCAAAAGGCTGCTGTTAAAACTTTAAAAAAAAATTAATCAATTTGGCCAGATGTTTTACTAAATCACATGACAGGGCCGTCACACATGTAGTGACAGATGTCATGTAATTTAGTAAAGAAAACAAATTCATCAGGGCGGCACAGTGGCGCAGTGGTTAGCACTGTTGCCTCACAGGCCGGGCC